TGTAGATAAGGGTCCCCCCTCATTATTTTTAGGATGAGGGAGGTAGGTAGGGGCTATTTTTTGGGGGAGTGGGGGGTGACTAGTGGTTTGGGGACCCCTAGTCACCTGGGGGGTGGTTACATTTTTATTTAGGGCCCTCAACCACCGCTCAGGGGTGGGAGGACAGTAGGTCCCCCCTTATTGTTGTTTAGGGTCCCCACCAGCCACTCAGGGGTGGGGGCTAGGGGGAGGACAGTAGGTTCCCCCCCGTTTTTATTTATGGCCCCAACCCACCGCTCAGGGGTGGGGGCCGGGGGGGAGGACATTAGGTCCCCCCCCCCAATTTTTATTTATGGCCCCCACCCACCACTCAGGGGTGGGGGCCGGGGGGGAGGACAGTAGGTCCCCCCCTTATTGTTATTTAGGGCCCCCACCCGCTGGCTGGCTGCTCACTGTTTACTAGACACACCCCTACTCGCGGTATAGCGAGTAGGGGCTGAATTTACTAATACTAAGTAATCTTAACTTAGTATTAGTAAATTTGGCTGAAATACCAATTTAGGTCTTTCAGCCTTTTGGTTGATAGCTCCCTAATACCGTGGAAATTAGGAAGTTATCTACTAAGCGGCTGCTTATTTGATGTATTTCATGTTATTTTAAGTGATTTCCCTATCCACATTTGTTTGCAGGGCACTTGTCCTACTCTTATACCCATTTTACTTCCTTTTGCAGCCATCTAGCCCTTTCCAGGACCTTTTTAGAGCCATTTCTGTGCCCAAAAGTTCGGTTCCTCATTGACTTCAATGGGGTTCGGGTTCGGGGTCAAGTTCGATCCCAAACCCGGACTTTTTTCCGAAGTTCGGCCTAACCCGTCGGATCCGAACATCCATGTGTCTGCTCAACTCTAGATATAAACACTTAGATCGTAGTTATTATAAAAATAATATACTCAGTTCTTACTCACAGCCTGCATGAAAAACAATGGTTTCATTTTCAATCAGAACATGAGGCTCCTGCTGGATCTAGTTGGGTATTAACTGATATATATATATATATATATATATATATATATAATGGAAAATTTATTCATACTTACCGTAATTTTCTTTTCCTGGCCATATGCCATGGCAGCACAACATTGGGTAGCTCCTCCCTATCCCCATTGGACAGGAATAATTACTAAGCCGTATAAGTACCACCTCCTACCCCTCCTTCCCCAGTCATGTTTTCCAGCAATAGCCCCGGGTGGGACCCTTGTGCTGCCATGGCATATGGCCAGGAAAAGAAAATTACGGTAAGTATGAATACATTTTCCATTTTCCTGGCCATATCCATGGCAACACAACATTGGGTAATACCCAAGCAATAAACCAGGGAGGGAAAGAGACACAGACTCCAAAATTTTGAATGCAAAGTGTATTAACACCACAACAAGTGAAAACATAGAAATCAGGCTTCGGATACAGACAGAACTGATTTAGCAAATTGATCAGATAGACCTGCTCTAACATCAATTTGGTAGCTCTTAATGAAAGTGTTAGAGGAAGACCATGTAGCTGCTTTACAAATGAGTTCAGGAGAAACATTAGCAGCGGCTGCCCAGGAAGATGAGAGAGCCCTCGTGGAATGGGCTTTAAGACCCACAGGGACCGGATATCCAGCAGATTGATAAGCCAGAATAATAGCTGCTACTATCCACCTGCTAATGGTAGATTTGGGAGCTTGTGAGCCCTTTTTACAGCCGCAATGAAGGACGAAAAGACTGTGAGAAGTACGCCAAGCAGAAGTCCTATCAATATATATCTGGAGGCATCTTACTAGATCCAGAGAAGATAGGTTAGTAGAATTCTCCATTTCTTGGGAGTCAGACCTCAGAGATGGAAGAACAATATCCTCGTTGATGTGAAAGGAGGAGGTGACTTTAGGTCGAAATTCGGGAACCGTACGGAGGACGACTCTGTCTTTGTGAAAGACCGTAAAAGGCTCCTTAATGGATAGAGCGTGGAGCTCAGAAACCCTCCTGCCGGAAGCTAGGGCAATCAGCAAAGCAGTCTTAATAGAGAGAGCATGAAGTGGAACTGTCTCAAACGGTTCAAAAGGTTCCAACTTTAAAGCATTCAAGACCAAAGGGAGATTCCAAGATGGAACAAATGGTTTAATAGGAGGTTTTATCTGAAGGACTCCTTTGATGAATCTGATGACATCCGAGTCCAGTGCCCATCGATGATTGGTTAGAGCGGACAAAGCTGAGACGTGCACCTTGAGAGTGTTATAGCTCAGCCCTTTAGCAAGCCCAGACTGCAGGAACTCCAAAATATTAGAGGAGGAAGGATCCTGAATATCAATGTTCCTGTGAAGGGCCCAGTCGGAGAAAACTTCCCACACTCTATAATAAGTGGCCGAAGTGGAATGCTTACGCGCCTTCAGCATAGTGCCTATAACGGCCTGGGAGAATCCTTTGCTCAAAAGCCGGTTCCTTTCAGTCTCCAAGCCATGAGATTGAGAGAGACAGGATTTGGAT